CAAAACTTATTATCAATTCATTATTAACTGATACGATTACGAAAGTTTTGTTGATACGTCAACAGCATCTTGCAGAACTAAACGGAGAACATGTATGTCGAAAACGAAAGTGACAAGGAAATACAAATGAATATATGCGGAAAGTACGAGAACAAAAAAGAGAAACTGAATAAGTGCGTCGATCAAAAATATCAATAATGAAGAGTTGTTGTAAAGGTATGAACAGATTGATTTAGCTTTTTTAATTCAATCCAGATAGCTTTTTCGGTTAAACCAATAATTAGAAAAATACAAATAATAGAAAATTCAGAAAAATAAAATAAAAACAAAAGAATAAATAACGAGCGAATAGCAAAAAGAAAATAGAATATAGAGCACAGAGAAAAACAATTATAGATCAAATTTCTGTTCGAAATTCGAATATAAATAAGAGAGATAATTTCTCTAACAATCGATTATTCTGAAAACAACTACTGTCTATTAGATATTGTTTACTTTATGTATTTTATATTAACATAATTAAGCTGAAGAAGATATGTGAGTTCCACATTTTAGTTCCAAAGGGGCTACGCTGACAAGCTTTTTTGCAGAAAACAAAAATATTTTTGCAATGTTTGAGTCAACAGGGTCAATCGAAATATGGATTTCTACAAATTTTGAGTAGATATTTTTATTTGGATCGTTAGAGTTCGGCAAGCTCTACAAGAATATGGATATCAAAAAAAAATTTGATCCTCTTTTCAATATAAAACTTGAAAGAAATCAGATAGACTGATAAAAATTTGGCATATCATGCATTGCAGAGTATACTTAACCTTCAATAACTTTGGTAGATCGAGCGGTCCGTTTATTATTTTATGCTTCGGAATGTTTTATCACGTAGTGTAGGTGAAAATACCCTTTCCAAGTTCCAGACAAAGACGAAGCAATCGATCGACTAAAGTTATTGAAAGTTAAGCACTCTCTCTTTAATGGATATTCATATTCTTGTAGAGCTTGTCGAATTCTATCGAATCATATAAAAAATCTAGAAAATAATATTTCACGTCAGAAGTTACAAGAATATTTTTGTTTTTGTAAAAAATGTTACATAACAATTTCCACTCAAAATTAGTAAAATGACCTTAGCATTATAAGAGATTTATGTAATTACTTCACATTATGTGTTCTTCAGATGATAGCTCTAATCTTCCTCTACAGAATGACATAATTTGATCAATAAGTTCATATAAGTTTGTCATAGATATCATCGATTTGCTAAGAGGGTGTGCGGGTGTGGGTGTGGGAAGGTGTGGGATGAAACATGAGAATATCAACAGTCACAATCCCATCCACACCCTGATCCTAACTAATTAAATTACTGTATTCGGGATGAATTTATTAAGTTCATTGATTGGAATAGAGCGACATCCAAAAAAAAAACACGATCCAAGAACTAAAGCGTGCTGTAAAAAAAATCGAAAAAATATTGTGTTTGAAAGTTGTGATTCTTGTTCCAATTGATTGTATCGCATGTCTCAAAATAATGGAGACTATTTAAAATAATAAAAATATCTACGTTCTGTAGAGAATTTGACAAGAAATCTTTCTATAAAAAAAAATTTTTTTTCTATGCCGAATTATAGATGAAAAAAGTGCAAAATACTGAGAGATTCATTTAATCTGGCCCACTCGTTAGATCTAAAAGATCGACCAAAAATTGATATTATCTGTGATTCTCTTTCTGTATTGATTGAACGCGTTAACTATTGCCTATCTTTCGTCAAGCGTCGCTATGCCATGCAGCATGAACAACAATCGCTACGAAATCTTTCGAAAGAAACAGCAACATTCATATGGTTTCATGCATTGCGCAATGTCGTTCATCACTTTCGAAAATCTTCTCAGGCTAAAAATGATATGATAGTACATTTTCAAGAGTACTATCAAAACAATCCAGCGCAATTGAACAGATTGCTCAAATTTGCTGATACTTATGAATCTAATCATCCCTTATGCTGGTATGCACAACCTAGTTTCATATCAGATATTATCAACAAAACTCTTCGTGCTTGTGACATCGATGCATTGTTCAGTTTGCGATATTGTATTATTGATCTATGTCAATCACTGGAAGAGCTACCACGTCCAACAGAATCATTGATTGTTTATCGTGCTGTTTTAATAGATCGAGATAAATTTGATAGAATGAAAAAAACAATGACCAAAGGTAATTTCGTGTCTACACATGGATTCTTGTCGAAATCAAAAAATCGCAAAGTAGCCGAAAAATTTGAATCGAATGATAATAAGGATTCGAATAAAGTAAAGTCTTTAATGGAAAGTATAGAAGCCAAATAGCAATTTATTTTTTTAAAACCTTTTAGGTGGAAATTATATACGAAATTGACGTGCGTGTTGGTTTGAAACGTATTGTATTTGGGAATATTCAAATATTCAGTGAATCTGCAGAGGAAGAAGAAATCCTGTTTGATCTTGATTCTAGTTTTGAATTCATCAAAATGATCGAAGATGTAGAGAAAGATGGCCGTTGGATCCTTCGACTTCAGGCAAGTAATTGTGATGCCATGATAAGTGACAAATATGTGACCGATAGTCAACGAGAACTGGAACGATTATCGGCCGAAATTTTGTTTGAAAAGCTATTAATTGATATGGATGAGCCTGATGAAGGTATTAAATATTTTCAAAAAATATTAATGCAATCAAAAGAAAACCAAAAAGGTAAATGAAAGCATCCGTCGATTGGGGATTTAGTGTGTATTCGTGAGAAATATTCGACTACAATAAGTTCTCAATTTGATTCGAATTGAACACGTTATTCAATATTTTATGACAGTATCTTTCCTCATTTTTAGTTCGTCATGACTGGCGGGAAGCAGTTCACATAAGATAAATACTGAGCTAATAATATTGCTCCCAAGGAATGTAGGCATCAATAGACCTTGTAGCAGTATTTTCTTCGTATTTTTTTTACTTTTCTTTCAAGTTGCTTTTAGGATGTGGGTGTAGGTTGGTGTTTGTGTGTTGGTGTATGTGTGAATGAAAAGAATACTAATACCCACATTCACAACCACATACTCGCAGCTGTAGGCACATGTACAGGCACACCTACACTCCACACCCAGAACATACTATTTTTTTGAATCCGTGTTTATTCTAAGTAATAGGAGAGAAATCGATGCTTCTTGTAGTCCAACACTTTAATAGTTTATTATGGGTCATTGTCCCTTTTCACGGAACAAACAGCATAGAAAAAAAATAGTTTGCTTTCTCGTTCAGAACTCTTAATTTTGTTTGCGCCAATATGAATTGTAAATCGTCCTGCGTAGCAATAAATTGTGGATTATGTTGGGAACAAATAGTATTCATACGTTGAGTCAAAATGTTGAAGAATATATGAAAATCACGAAGATATCGTAACTGTGTCATAACATCAACACAAAATTTTTGTCCACCTAGTAACGTACATATATCAGGTAATGATTTACATTGATATCGCGCATTTTTTCGTAAGTAATCAAATACATAATCAACATAATTGATCAATTGCAACTCATCCCATTTTAAATCAATAATTGGTATTTTTTTGTCTTTGGGTGTCCACGAGATAGTCATTGGAATAACTGGGCATTGAGGTATTAAAATATAGAACGAAAAACTATTCACTCATGCAGTATCTTCCTCCTTATTACCCAATGCTAAATTCAGAACATCATCATTAGTCATAGAATTAGCAAAAGTTTGTAATATATGTAAATTGACGTCAGCTTTATCGAAAAAAAGTACTTTCATCCAATGAATCCACAATCACTGAGGTAGAGATGCGTAATGTAGTTAAGCAATTGACTAAAGTCCAAAAAAAATGTAGTAAATTGCTTCGAGAGAGACAAAAATTTTAAAAGTCAAAGGGCAGGTTCGATCCTGAACATACTGAAATTTTGGTAACAGGGTCACCTAGAAATACTGTACAAAAGTATCCAATTGAGTATATGATCAGTATCTTCAAGTACCCAATTACTACACATTTTGTAGCAGGGTACTTGCCAAAGTACTACTCAGGTACCTGGAAGTACCTAAAAGTACTTTGTTACTCAAAAGTTTCTGCGACATACTGGTAAATGGGTATACTTTTTCGGGTACCCTTAACTCAGTACATTCTCTAGGACATGCTATAAAGATACAATAATACTGAACATCGTTAAAGAAACAATGCAGAAATTACACATATCAGAAGATAATATAAATATGTATGAGTTGATAGCATTTGATAATGATCAAACACAAATCGATTTTGATTTATCCGTCGATGATATGCTTGGATGGTTTCCCATTGGTTCAACTACAATATCATTTGAATTAAAGAAAAAAATATATATGAAACAAACAATTTATATTACATGATATATTCCATTTGTGCTTGACTTTCATTTACTCAAGAAAATTTTCGAATAGAATTGCATTCCTACTTTTTATTGTCTATGAAAAGATTTTTAACTTTTTCATTAATCCATAACTTTATGAATAAAATAATAAAGGTGTAGGTGTAAGTGATGGATGTGGATGTCCATTCAGAGAAGATTCACACTCACATCCAAAAATAGAAACGTTGATAGGCTACTGCTTTGTAATAAAGCTATTTCTTCAATTTTGAAGAAAAAATTCTTCCTAGTGACTTTTGATTAAAGGCAGACGCTATGCAGTCAATACTATGAAGAGAAATATTTCATTAAGAATGTGTTTTTTGATTGTTTTCAACAAACTTCTGAAATTAAAAAAAATCCGAATAGATTAGTACATCATTTTATCGCAAAATGAATGAAAAAATATATGTTTATCACTTGACATAGGCAATGATTCAGCTAATTTCGTTCGTTCTTCGATTTTTCTTTGCTTCTTTCCACCATCGAAAAACAAGTAATGATTGACCAACAATCAAACCTAAGCCATATGTCGAACCTAAAGCTAATCCAATAAATTTTTATTAAAAATTCCTTTATTTACTTGCCTCCATACACTCCTAAAAGAGTTGTTAACATAACTATAGGATTATTCTTATCTGGTAGTGTGTAATGACATTCAGAGGTTCTACATGCTTGAAAATAATTTGTATAGTTAGTATAATTTTCCCATGTTTCTACGAAGAATCGATCACTTAATTTTCCTAATGAAACATTTCTAAACTTTGATAAACGAAACCCATCATATGGGAAACAACCCATAACAATATCACTAGTTAACTGCTCACTACAGTCATATGATGTTGCACAACTACAGTTTGATGATGGAAAATGTCGTGGAAATGTCTTTATTCTATATAATTCATTTTCATCACTAAAACTAAGTTGCCAATTAGTTGTAAAAATATGTAATAATTGATTAACACTAAACGAACGAACTATGAATGAAACTACGCGACGATAATAATTTGAATTTTCACGAATAAATGCAGGAATTGATGGTTTTATTTGATTATCAAATGATGAAAGAGTTAATGTTTCCACACTAACTAGTTCACGAGTAACGAACATTTGAAAAGCATAGTCAACGAAACGACGAGATAAACGGCAAAATGACGCTATTAAACGATAATGATTACTTAAAGCTAATGATATATTCTCATTTTTTTTCAACAAATCAATACGATGTGGTAAAGAAATATATTCACTAGAACATATTGAATGATAATGAGGTATTATTGTTAAAAATGTTGAATAAGGAACAGCAGCATTTGAACAAGGACACGAAAGACTTGAAATATTTTTATGGTAAAGTTTTTCAACAATGTCCATTGTTGGATATGATATTTTAATAGATCTTGTTTCTTCACTGAATGGACCAGAATAGATAAGAACAGCAATAAGACATAGGATAAATAGAAATATATAAATGCGAGTAGCAATAATTTCTTGATGTTGAAACTTTTTCTCAATTGAAGGTGAATCACTCTCAAAAAAATTCAACGATAACAATCTATTAAATATTTTACAACAACAGTTGGATGGTTTTTTTGATGCAGAATTTGCAACATCGATTGTTGTATCTAGAATAGAGTAAATGTTTATTAAATTCTTTTTTTTTTACCATACTTAATAAAATAACTCTTAATCAACGTCAATATGAGTATAACATAAAGGTATTGATTTCCATTTTTCTGAACTGATATTTAGCTTTGACGTTAATAAAATGGAACGTGTGAAAGAAGATTGAGAATTAAGTTCCATCCAAATCTTTTAAAGCTAATATAAAACTGTAGATAAACTTAATCCGAATACTCAATAGAACGTGACAAATTATCAATGTTTCGGTTGATGGATCAGTTCATCGCATATAAACGAAGGGATACATCAGTTAAAAATAGTTCAGTGTATTATTTAATTGATCATGTGAATGTATGGTCTACTCTGAAATTACTAGATGTTCATGATAGATAGATATATGCATTCTCTAGAAATAAAAAATAGTCCTTCCTCTACAAATATGGAAACTTGAATTTAAATGTAGAACTTAAATACTAGATCTTCTTATGTATTACCACATACTACTGACTAAATCGAATTTAAAAACATTCAAAATTTAAATTCAATTTAAATTTAGGTCAACGTATATTAATATCTGTCATTTTCTTCGAAAAAAAAAATCATCAATAGAGAGTTATCAGGTTAATGAAAAACATCTTTTGGAATAGTTAATTAAATAATACACTAAACTAAATCATTCTATTCTATGATTGTATTCTCTCGTTTATATGCGACGAATTGTACTAATGCCCTATTGATCAACTCTAGATAGAGAGTTTTATCTATGAGAGGCCATCTGGAGATACCAATTACATCACTAAATATGGATATGTTCGATTATGTTTTCCTTCTATTTTTGCGCTTATTATTTCTACTGAATATAAAAAAATAATAGTAATTATCTTACCGGTTGTGACCTTGTTAAGTTTATTTTTTTTTGTTTCTTTTTTTCGTTTTGACCATTTCCTTAAGAATATCATAACCAACAATGGTAGAATGATTTCTAAAATAGTACTGAATCCTCCATGAAATCCAAGCATAATAGCAATCATATAAGTAGTATCAAAACGTCTATTTACAGTATAAGTACAGTGTGCAGGTGCACAACGCTCATAATATGCTGTATAATTACTTGAATGCATCCAATCTTCTACAAATAAGTTTGAAAAAATTTCACGTATTGTTGCATTTGGAAGAAAACGACTATTTTTCTTTTGAAGTGGCCGTATCTGAGAGGCACGTTTATTAAATGGTGAAACTAATCCAACAATATCAAAATCATACTTGTCAAGAAGAATTTGAATACATTTTTTATCGTAAAAACATTCTAATGTAGACAAAAGAATAGAATCCATTGAATAACATCCAAGAACTAAACCAGGTACAGTTACATTAGGTTCAGAATGATAGGTATCTGTTCGCAAATAAAAGCCAATAGGGCTAGTACATTCCCTTGAAAGAGTACATGTACATGAATTTTTATGAAGATTTGATGGTTGAAAACGGATTGACCATTTCGATGTTGTATTATCATATATTGACAACGCTCGAGTATTCATCCACATATTGTCAATCAATTGATTTGTTCGAATCGATGAACGAATCAATCTTATTAGACTAAAAAGTGAAACAATAGAATTTTGTTCAAATTGTTCCATTCGTATCCTAGTTTCCATAGTAAACTGTGAACGTGATAATGTATTCATTGTAACAAATCTATTTGATCGAAATATTCTTATTGCATCATCAATTGTTTCACGTGATATTTTGCATAGAACAGACAGCATTTGAAAAATCCATTCACCACTAGCTCGAAAGTCAATTAACAGAATTTCATATGTATAGTTAGGAATTGATCCACGACCAAAATAAGATAGCCAATCATCTTTAAGATATTCACTTGAACATATTGAATGAAAACGAGGAGAAAGAGACATTATTCGACCATACGACATTGAAAGATGTGAACATGAACAAACTAATGTTGATGAATGCATAGAATAAAGTTTTTCGAATTGTGTAGATGAAGGTCTATCAATAGTATAGGTTTTATTACGTTTTAATAAAGATGTATAGATACCAAGAGTAATAAGACCAATAATTGTTAAAAAAATATAAAGACGAGTAGCAATGATACCGATACGTTCACCATCAGGATCATTTTTGTTCTTTGGTGGAAATAAATTAAAAGTACGAACCGTTCGATGAATATGACCAACTACAGCTAAAAGCAAAAATAATTAATATTTTGCAATTACTTTTGTTTTGTTATTGTAAATTTCCAATTAAATGATCGATTCTTTTTGTTAAAGAATCCGTTCCGTTGGAGAGTTCAGTTTTGTAATAGTTATTCTATTATAACACTCAGTTTTCGTTCGCTTCTCCTCATAATACATTCTTATTTCTCGAATCCATGATCGAGAAGGAAGTAATCATAGAGCAAATAGTTACATTGAAGTCTTATATCTAGTAATATGAGTTCTTTTCACCTAGACTGGTTGCGAAAGAATTGTTGTGGTTGTTCTAAAGAACAAAACTGACATGCAAGTAAGCGTCAGCAAGACTTATTATATTTTTATGACCATATGTCGAAAAGAATAATACTCTTTTTTTATAATCTCGATAAAAAATGTCCATTCTGATAATCATGGTGATTATGACGTAACTCTTGAAAAAGTTACAAAACAATATTGTGATAATGGTGTCATTTTCACTGATACTGAAACAGATCTGATCTTGTTCGTTACACACTGCTGATTATTTTCATATATTTCCTCGTTATGAAATATTTATTTTTGTCATTATCAATAAAGTAAAATGTAGCAGCTAATAAAAGCGGTAAAAATGAATTTCAAAACTTAGAATTTATTTCAGAAGTGTCCTGGAACCATCTCTAAAACTAAAAATCGTAGTCTTAGCAATCCAGAATTTTCACGAAATAAACTTCGTTGTAGAGGTTACAGCAATTCAAAATTATTTACGGAGATTTTAAGTGGTATAACTAGTCTCAGCATTCCAGTAAAAATCTTAAATGAGATAAAGGGACTGATTTTGTATATTCTTAGATTGAATATATGTGCATAATAAGAACCTCTGTCACTATTACTGAGCTGAAATATTTCACATAGATGTTAAAAAGACTAAAGTTAAGACGAACTCTTAATCTAAGACTGAGACCGCAACTAAAATTGAACGGTTCTGTGCAAGCATCTCCAACTGACCAGAACCCATAAAATATGTCAGAACGAATCAGAAATAGCTTTCTGAACACTAACTATATAAAAGTACATACAGATACCTATAATTAGTTTTCTATTTGTTAGTATGGACGAAGGGTCGAACCTAATGCGTGAAATAACTGTCAGTCAGGATATAGTTCAACATAAAGCTACAAGTCAAGAAAAAATATTAATCTAAGAGAAGTTGTATTACGAAGCTACCAAATAGTCAAGTCTTCTTATTTTGTTCTTCTCTTTGATAATAGATTCTTATGATAAATACTAATTAATATTATTTTAATCATTTTCTAATAAAGAAAATAGTATTAAATAAATGTGTGTATAAATTTAATAAATCGTTATGTATCATCTACCTTGTTTTCTTCGTTTTAGTAACTTATTTGTAAGTTCTATTTGTACATGTCTTCGCTCTACAGTTGTAGTTTGTTCAGTTCTTTGTTTTTTCCATTTTATTAATTTGAAAATTTTTACTAAAGCTGGTGTAATTAATTGCAATGCAATAACAAGACCACCAAAAGCATTAAGAATCATAGTAATAATTGTACCAAGATAAAACTGACTTTCATAACTGTAAGAAAGATGTCGAGGTGCACAAGCAGCAAAATAATTTTCGAAACTTGATCTATTTTCCCAAGATTCAATAAATAAATAATTATCGAATAATGAACCTATTGTTAAATTCAATGGAAATCGTGTTAAAGATATATTTAAAGCTCTTGGTCGGGAAAGTTTTGGTTGAAGTGATAGTACATCAATGCATGATTGATTATACAAACATTCAAGAGTTGATTGACGTATGGCCTCAAGAGGTAGACATCCAGCCATTAGTCCAGGAATCTAAATTTATACTATATCTCTTCAAAAAATTATGTTTTTTTTAATTTAATCTTAATGTTTCATAAGAATAAATCATTACTCAGAATGTGTTTTATCTATTGTATACTTCAAATATAACTGATTTATATATAAATAAATGGCAACTTATGCTCTATGGTTGCAGTATACAGCAGAATTTTCGCAATTCTTTATTGAATTTTAAGCAACATGCACGATATACAGTAAAGTTCTTGCTAAATTCAGTAATGATATGTCCAGCACACAGAAAAAAACACTTGAATCATGTCATCACTAGTACCAAGAGTATTAGTAGTCCCAAAATATTTCAAAACCTATAGATTTGCTTGTTGTATTCTAATGTTTTTCAGTATGTTGTAAATTCCTTTTGAATGGCGCATTACTAAGAACTGCACAATTTTCAGATTATCACTCCATACAGTGAATAGAATGACATTGGTTTTCAAAATTTCCGCTGTTTTTTAATCGGAAATAAAGTTGATATGTAAGAATCTTTTTTTTCATCAATTTGTGCGATAAAGAGCTCTCTTTCTTTTTATATAGTCCAAAGATCGTTAGATCTGTTATCAATTCAGGTTAGAATTACGTTTTCGTCACTCTACACAATAATGTTCAAGTGTCTTTCAAACAATATCAACGTTAGATTGGCGGACGGAGAATGAATAAAATTTAAATGAACAACATTTTTTGATAGAGTATCGAACGATCTATAAAGAAGCCTATTTGTATTCTTTTTCTTTTATTCTATTATAGTCAAAAAACTTTCTTTCCTTCGTATACGTCATCGAAAAATGACGATGTGGGTCACTTAAGGATTAGTGATAAAATGCAAAAAAGTTGTCGAAATCGATCAACCAGAAAAAAAATAAGTTATTCAAAAAATACCGCTAAAATTCAATTGTACCAAAAAGTTGCAATTCACTCAAATACTTATATTCAAGGCATATATTAACATCATCATGTTATGATTACCAAAAAAAAATCTATTCCAATATATATCTGTTCGAAGTTTCTTAATAACATAGCAGTAACTGTCTTTCTCTAAGAACTAAGGATATTCATTCCTATTGAATAAGTAATTCAATCGGTTACATAGTGCGATATATTCGTATTTTAATAAGTTCACTGCGAACACTTTCAAATACTATTTATGTTCCAATAAAAAGAGAATATTAGACAGTAACCAACTATGTTACAGAGATATTTTTTCTGCATCCATTTAAAAGCAGTATATGTGTCTCTTGATATGGGATAGCTTTAGATGTATTCATATATCGTTCAGTACTTGCATCCACATCTTCTCTACTATGATAACATTTGTTTTTATGCTTTTCTATTGGAAATTTTCATAAAGTTAAGTCTTTCTAACCATATATTAGTTTTAGTAATAAGACATGTTCTTACCTGAAATTGTGGAGATGGATCATTTTCAACTTCTTTTTCTAAATTTGATAGAGTCACATTATAAAAAGCACCAGCTGGATATACACACTGATTGTCTCTTAGTGTACATTCACAAACATTTTCCTCCGTTCCATTTAGTTCTCTATAAATTCTATCATAAGAAATAAATATTTTTGAACCGGGTTTGGATACCATATAAGTATTTGTACGTAAAGCTGAGATCAATTGATTTTTTGATGTAAACATTGACAGAATTGATACAATTCGTTTTTCATTGGTTATTATATTTCGATAAAAATTAATAGTAGCAACAGAACTTACTTCATCAAATTGAGTTCGTGAAAAACTATAGTGATTAATTAAACGATTAGAATAGAAACTATCGTAAGCATCATTAACAGCTTGACGAGCTAATTGACAAAGTAAACCGAGAGAACGATAATGAGAAAAGGCAAATGTACGAAAATCTAAAATATTATGAGATGTTGCATTGTAAAGAAATAAAGAAGATATCCATTTTTTTCGAATAAATGAACTTGAACATATTTGATGAAATTTTGCAGATACACGTAGAAATTTATCATAACGTACAGCTACTTCAGTACATGGAGCTTTAATTGTATCTGGATAAAGTGCTTCAAGTTGTTCAAAATCCGATATAGAAAATTTATTAAGAGTTATAGTACGTGTTCGAATACTTAAACTAGCGTAACTAATAACAATTAACAAAGATATTGATATTAAACCAATAAAAATTCTAGTACTAAGTATTTGTTCATTCTCAGTTAATGATGGTGACCATAATGGATTAGAAGAAAATAAATTTAATTTTCGAATAGTATGAATTAAATGTGCACGAGCAGTTGATATGATAGTTTTAGTAGGTGAAGATAGTATTACTTCATTTAATGAATTACTTGTCGTTTTCATTTTTTTTGTGTGAAGATTGATTGTTTTAGTATAGTATACCTAAGATTGCAAAAAAAACATCGAATTATCCAAATAATTTATTTACAAATTTAACGAATAGATAGACATTACATCAAGTCAAACCATTCTAATTTACTGAAAATAGTGTGAAGAACTCGATTAGTCTATGTGTAACGGATTAAGATTTTTTTGTACTATCTCTTAAATATCTCATCATAGATTTTTCTAATAAAATATTTAAGCCTAGAAAAAAATAAGCTTTACTCCATATTTGACTTATATTATCAGTAGAAAACAACATTTTCTCTAAAGCAATCATATATTCTGAAAGTATGTTGAGTTCTCTATACTCTGTATATTTACATTCTAACTTGCAACCTATTCACTGCAAAATACATCGAATACAATGAAGGCACACTCATTATCAAATTCCTACAGATTTTTTTTCCTACAATTTTCTCAATTAACCTTTGATATTTTTCATCACTCTAGAAATAGCTTTTTAAAAAATTAAATATACTCTGATAGAGCTTTTCAAGCTCTTTCATCCTGTATATACATCTTTTCTTTTGGCTTCCATAGTGACGGAAAAAATAATAAATACATTGAAAGCAACTGTATTTGAAAAGAATAGAAATTTTGCAATTTTTCGGTTTCTTTAGTTTTTCTTTGATATTGCCTTTCTTGTCAAATTCATGGCACTCAGAAAAATATACAAAACGAAAAAGAATTTCAAGTGCTACAATATTGTATCATTTTTTTTATTAGACATTATTCTAGCAAGAAAGATAATGTCAAAGAACAAGTAAGAACAAAACGAAGTAATTGCAAAATTTCTATCTTTTTCCCATGTAGATGTCTTCAATGTATTTAATTTTTTTTCTCGCAACAATGGAAGTCAAAAGAGAAAATATGTATAAACAGGATGAAAGAGCTTGAAAAATAATTTCTATAGTGATGAAAAATTTAAAAGGTTAACTCATTGAATACCAACATTTTCTCTCCTTCGATAAAATGTTGAAGAAAATCTAGATTTTTTTTTTCTCTTGCGCTCTTCTGTAGATAAACAGCTGTGCACTATTTCTAGCTACACTAGTTCAATGAAAGAAAAAAATATTTTCACAATGACAAATGCATATTTCTTTGAACAGACATATGACATGTATAATATAGGAAGATGATTGAATACAATATTTCTATATAACAATATTCATGTCATCTACGAGATGACACGGAGTATTGAAAAGATTAATTGAAAAAATAATGGGAAAAAGAATCTGTAGGAATTTGACGATGAGTGCACCATTATGATATTCGATCTTTTTTGCAAGTTGGAATGTAAAAATATACGAGATGATAGAGAACTCAACGCGTTTTCAGAATATATAATTGTTTTAAAGAAAATAATCTATACATTAACAAATTTTTATTATAATCAAAAACGGACGGCTGGCTGGAAGTTTGTGCTGAAGAACTAAAAAATTCACCTCTAATACAGATATGATTAAAAGAGTCTCTATAGACAAGTTATAGATTAGATGACAAGCTACATACAAGAAAAAAATCAATTCAAAATATATGACAGTTTCAACTCACAGGAAAATATTTTGTCATGATGGAATAACGCTATATTATTAATGAGAGTATTTTCATCGACGTTGATTTCTTCAAGAAATTAACTATAGTCTTGCCATAATCAACAGATCGGTAACATCTCACATCATTCTTCTGACAACGCAAAAATTATGTAATGAAAAACATCAGACAAATGTCGCTGAAAAAATATATCACAACACTTCATCCATCATTTCCATCAATATAAACTTCGTTGTGAAATTATTTTCCGAAATTTTGAAGATGAACTCATTTGTCTATGTTTGAATAAAAATTCTTATTTTAACCTGATATTTCATAATACATATCTATAGAATTGCTTGTATATCATTATGACATGCTTTTTCGACAAAAATCAACATTTATTTGATGATTATTTTCTAGAAAAAAAAAGAAGACAAATTTCAAGCGATTTATGTCAAGAAACTCTTGGCTTTTTTTAATCAGTTAAATTTTTCTATCACTTTCAATTAATAATTTTTGAAACTATATTAGTATATGCAGTTGATACAAATCCTTCAGAGATATTCGATATGAATTGTAGAAGATTCTAAATTTAATCTATTTAAAAAAATCCACTCACCTAAACTGAACTTACAAAAGTTATTTTTTATAACTGTCGGATACTGAAATTTTTTTTTATTTCAAAAAATGTTTGCATTTACATTTATTTTTTCCATTAGCTTAATTTGATTTGATTCATTAAACATCAATTTTATGCTTTAAAAAACTTGTTCTGTTATTCTAATGGTAATATACTCATAACAAATGTTAGACAATGTAGGAAATGTACTGTACCTCGTGATGTTGTCCTTGTGGTGCCATATTAATCCGACGTAAACATTCGTCTTGTCGATTGATAAGATATCGCACATATCATTTTGTCTCTCAACAAAATTCGGCGCATAATATTAATTTTTTTCTTAAATAAGAATTATATCTAATACTAAATCAAAAATACAAGCACTTTATCTATTGACATCTACCATAATGTTCATTGTTTGCTTGAAAAAGTAAATCCACAGGGACCCAGAAAGATTCACACTTACAAATTTGCTTACGGATGTATTAAGTACGAAATATCAGACGTTTGGTTATGTGTGGAAAATGATTAGAAAGATCGCAATATACTCATTATTACGATAAAGCAAACATAAAAAATGATCTAACATTTAGGTCCTTTAATAATTTAATCCAATAAAGCTAAACTCATTTTGAAAATTTTTTATATTATTCAAACATGTCTACTTCTCTTGAAACCACTACTTTCGCAAAAAGGCCGACATTTAATAGTATTAGACGATGATTCATGCATTCCACATCGCCAAATTGACGAAAAGACTTATTGGTATTGTAAAAATCACAAAAAAATTTAGTTGTCATTTTCGAACATATAAATGTAATTTTACAATTAATATAACCAATGCGAACATTTTAAAACGCAACTATATTCATGTAACGAATTCTCATTGATACACTATGAAAATATCATTTCAAGAATTCCATGAAAGTCTTGTTAGCCATGCAAAAAAATATATCACTCACATCTCTATGACACTATTTTAAAGAATTTTTTCTATGATAAAGTGTCCGTGATAGAATCTAGTTTTGTTGTAAAACTTAAAGATAATCCAGGACAAGAGTTAAATAGATTATTTAAAAAATGTCCATAATTCAAGGAAAAGATAATAATATATAATTGAATAGAATTACTTTGGAACTAATGATTTTCAAGTGTCTTACACAAGAAAAGAAAAAGAACATAAGACTTTTCACTATAAACTGTTAATACACCAAACCATATTAAATATTTGTTCAGATATATTGATGGAGATTGGTTCCAATGAATTTTTCAAAGGTTCAGTCGCTTGTAGTACATTTGTGATCTTAAATTAAGAAGATATTTCGATAATACTAAAGATAATTAATTTTATGGATTACCGTTTTCTTTTTATATTTTATTCAAAAAATCTGCAGTTAAATATAAATTTTAAAAAATTCTAATTAGTATTTTTCTTTGTGTTAAAAAAGAGACTGAATATTTATTAGTTATTATACTTTTCTTTTTTCTACATTCTGCACCAATCAGTTTGCGCTCTGACGAGAAAAAGTATTTTCATAATTAATTCAGAAACAAAAACTTCTTTTATCCTATATTTTGATGGCATTGACAACAGAAATTATTCTTTATACATTTATATTCTTATCTAGTGTACATTTGTCGATCAACAAATGCTTTTCTCTTCCTCTAACAATTCTCATATGAATAAAATCTTTTCTGTTTTTCTAAACAATCAAGAAATATTGCACTGTTTTTTTTCTAGTAGATAAAGATTTCTATTATCCTATTATTTGTTTTCAATAGAAACACTTGATTTACGTCGTACAAAATGAATGTGATTATATTCTCATGCCTATTTTACAAAAAGGTTTCAAACAAACCGAGGAAAATAAAATAAATGAAGCAACACGATTGACTCATCTTAACTTAAATTGTCTTTTTGAGACGATTTATTGATATATTAATTCAGTTTTAATTCATTAAAGGATTTTTTATCATGACCATCAATTCGAGATATTATATTTTTTTTATATAAAACTAAACTGATAGATAGAAAACTGACTTTTTTTTACGCATTTTACTTTCGTTTATGACATGGTAACTATTTGTGAGCTACTCAGTGAAAATTAAGCGTCAGTTGTTACAGAAAAGAAAAATCTTCATTTTTTTAAATATTTTTCCTTTGTCCTATTAATATGAAAAGTGTGTTTTTATTTATTTTATAAACTAAGACTTCTACTTGAAAAAATATTTGAGAATTTATTTAGTTACGTCTCAACAGTGAACAAATAAAATTATGCATTTATTTGATAACATGAGGTATGTAACTTTGTTAATTTTGAATGATTGATTTACATATTCCATGAAAATCCTAAATTTTAGTGCAATGCTATTCAATCTATTTATCAGGAAAGTTTTTGAAAATGAAAAAAAACAACGCTTAAAAAGTCTCGAAATAGACATGACTAAAGTACTAGTCTGTCATTCATCAAAATACATTTATTTCATTTGTTCGATCAAGTATTTCAGTAAAAAGTTATTTTTCAGCCACTTTTTTGTTATTTTATTAGTACTTATTTCATCTAAAATTGATGTTTCTAATGCACATAACAATAAAGAATTTTATCCTTCATCATTCATTTGGGTTCTTAATTTTTTTTTTGACAATCTTCATTTTGCTAAACAACCTCTCAATGCAGACATAGTTAAAAGTTCTTCATATGTTTGACATAATAAATATATACATTATTTTTGATAATGAACAAAGTCATTAGCGGCAATAATTGTATCACCTTCAAGTATAACTGAACTTCATTGTAAAATA